TGCAGTTAACTTGGTTGAAAGAGGAACTATTTACAGTTATCAAATCACCAGCTGTAAATAATTTATCATTTACAGTTATCTTTCAGAATTCGAGGTATTATTTTTGTCCATTAATAATCATCACTCTACAGATCAGTCTATGAATGTGGTGCAAGTCAGGTAATCTTGAGATATCAATCTTTATATACAAGCTGTATGACAGCACCTGTCTGGAATTTGTGTTTTATTATAGTGGCCTTTACTAGGAACTGTGATGGGAAACTATTTCTAAAGCATTTAAAACCTACATATAGAAAAACCGCACAAAGTCTCTGTTGAGTATATATACAATTGTGTGCAAATTCTGCAATCTTGAATAAAACTTCATACATTCTTAATCTGAAGAGCATATGAATTTTATCTTACCTAACTAACCACAGGACTTTGATTGATTAATGGCTTTCAGCCATGATCATAGTTATACATCAACTTCCAGTATTACACGGACTTTATCTCAATTCTAGATGGTTTTATCCACCTAATATCAGTGACTTCAAAACCATGTCTCTTTATCACCTAAGCACTAATGCTTACAGAGTAAAATTTTCTGTACCTCTTAACAGTCCAGAAACTATAGAGCTGTAACTCCTTTCTAGTTAATATTCCACATTTTGAATACATATGATACATTGCTTAATACTGAGATGTGACGATCAACACAGAAGAGGGGCAGGTTTCTATCGCAAACTTCATGAGGCTACAGCAAAGGTGACAGCCAGAGAATGAAGCTTCTGGTTCTTCGATAGCTGAGAGAAAAAACACAACAGCTGAGTCATTCCTCCTCTGCAGCAATGGACAAAGCCAGGAAATGGAGAGAAGATGAGGCAGCACAATGTGATATCTAGAAGATGAGAACATTTGTAGTGAAATGAACCGTGTCCCCCAGTATTGGTATAACACCCTACACATAATTCCAACATCCCTTCTTCTCATAAGCTTTTGAAACTGACATCAGGAAACAATCATCTTCCATGTCTTTCATGATGCTTTCCAGCCTTCTGCGTATTAAAAGCTGTACAGAGTTTGGATTACGACAAGAGGTAACAAAACAAAAGTGACTTCAAAAACCTTTACTCCTCCGATTTTTATTACATCCAAAAACCCTGGAGAAATGGTACTGATTCAACAGCACATAAAATACTGTGAATAGGTGGTATGATGCAGGGAATAACTTTTCTTCTTTTAGGAGGTTACACTGTAGGCAGGAAATGATTTCCAGGATTTCAATCAGTTTTTGAACTTATAAAAAAAATATTTTTATCAGCTTAGCTAATTGGTACACATTTCCTTACCTGACTTTATTAGGTGTATGTCAAATACTATCTCAGTTGCAATTTAACAATGACCTAAGAACAATCTAAATTCTTGCTGCATCAAGTGTTGTTACTTCAGGCCTTTAACAGCAAGATAAAATTACTAGTTCTCATTAAGATAACTTCAGCAGCCCACCCGCAAAGATGAATACTTTTCCTATGATAAAACTGTTTTAAATAATTGCTCTAGAAATTAAGTTGGACTCCCATAGAAAAAAACAGGAAGTTATACTGATTTTCTTCATATCAGGAAAACAGAAATTGCTTCCCAAAAGGCATAAATTCTCAGTATTCACAGAACTTGCCCTGCGCTTAAAGCTCAGTCCTGTGATAAGCACACACGCCAAGCCTTCCTTCTCTGAAACTTTTACTGACATTTTAAAACGCGTTACAGAAAGTCAAGATGCGTTCATTTGTCAATTCTGAAACCACGTCGTAAAATAACACACTATGAAACGGCAAACGTTCCCACAGCTGATAGTCACTGTGAAGAAAATGGAATGAGGTTTTCTTGTTCTGGTATTATTCTCACTGGTGACACATTCAGTTATGTCTGTCCGTCCAGACACTGTGCAACAGTTTGTACAGATGCCACAATCTTTTCACTGAGTTTGGCCACAGATAAGGACTGAATTGTAACTTAACAGAAAAACTTTCATGGAGGTTATCCTCTAATTAGCTTGTGTAATTTCAACTCAGTCATTCCATCTGATGAAAACACATAAACGTTTCAAAACCAAGACTGATTTACCTTATCACTGATTATGTGCCCATATAATAAAACAAACTTCCACTTCTGTAAGAACTGTGACAGAGACAGGAATAGCAGTCTTTATAATAAGCACAATCATGATCTAACGACATTCAAACTGGACAGCCAAAGCAAACAAGTCCAAACATACTTCCTTTGGGACTATATACACACAGGCATTAAGTTCATGTGAACTGGGCACTAGTTAAAAGGTCTCTTCATACTTGAATCGGCCATTGCAAAAAATGTATTATGAATAGAAATAGTTAAATTACAGTTGCTTGACTGACTTAGTGAAGACCACAAAGGACATCTATGCCAAGTTGAATGTATTAATTTTTTCATGTGCATTCATTTATGTTGCTTGTGCAAGTCAAATTACATGAAAAGTCTCTTACCAAGGTATGCTGCTGAACATTCAAAAGGAATGGTTTATTAACACACAAGGCCTAAGCACCACAGGCACTAAATATTCTCCTGCTGACTTTTCACATGTAACTCTACAGGACGGGTATTGTCACATCACATAAATCTTAGTTTGAGGTCACCAATTCTGAAGTATTTTTAAGCACTGTAGTAGATAATGGTCAGCACCACAATCTGTGCTTTTTCACATAAACTTTCTGGAACATGCCTGATTCACCCTGATGATCCAATTTCATTAGATTATTTCTTTCAATAGGAAAAACAAATTGTAAGAGAAAGCCTGTGAGCATATTTGCACACTTTAAACCACAACTTTGCTGTAGTTGCACATTTTACAACTGACTGGACACATGTTGCAAACTTAGTACCCGGCTTTTATTTAAGCCAATCTGGAAAGCACAAAGACCTACACAAGTATTAATTAAAACAAACCTCACTGTTTCGGAGAATTTTTCTTATGAAGCCAGAATCTCTTCTCATGTTGCCTATTCCAGATAGACAATTGCGTATGATCCCTCCACATCCAAACTCTGTGGACACTAAGGCAAATCTCCATATGGAACTGCCACTATTAATCTCATCAAACATACATGATTAATTCACAGTCTACAGATACATATACACACATACAGGCTCCATTCTCCTCTAGAAATAGAATGCATGGCTGCATACGTTTTTTTCTCAGAAGTTGAAAGCAGTTTAAAACAGAAGTGCTGCAGGACAGCGTCACCAATTCTATTCTAACCGTTATTACAGAACAAAAATTTAGCTAGTGAAGTTTATAGAGACAGTGCTCAATGTTCTTGGAAATCACAGGACCTTTTTCATGTTATTTTCTTACACTATCAGACCAGATTATTTGCCTAAATAGTAACCATTAGTAAGTCTAATTCTTGGAGTAACATTAGTCCACATCAAATACCTATTTCCCCTATGCAGTTAAAGGAAGGCATCTTCTAAAGTAAAGGAAGTAATTCTGTTAAAATCAAATTTTAAAAACCAAATATGACATTTGTTTTGCAAAGAAATAGTTTTCCATTTTTATGTCATTGTATCAGTCACTACTATTTAAAGGGTTAAAAGAACATACTAGTTGGCACCAGGCATTACTTTTGTTAAGCAGGTGACAATTGCTTCTGATTGTCTGAAAACTACCCAGGCCTACCAGTGTGCATTTCTCAGACTTGAGGTTATCACAGGTTCCCTTCGAGTTTCAAGATCCTATCTTAATAAAAAACCCTCATTACGATTGCTACTTACAGACATACATTGTTTAGAGTGTTAGAAACTAGTTATTTCTAACTCTGGTTAGAAACTTGCTCAGAGGCAAGAGTTTAAGAGCTAGCAGGCATGAGCTACTACAGAGGGCCCCAAAAACGACAAAGATAAGTGAAGTTTTGAAGAGTGATTTTATTCCAAAGTTGCACCGTTAGGTGTATGTTTCCAAAGGATGCAGCGTAAGCAGTTGTACTGGTTGAGAACAGGAAATCGGTTATTTTCGCCCCTCATTTCTGTCCCCTTACAGCCAGTCACAAAAGCCTCCTGACCCTACATCTCTCACCCTTAAGGTATGTGCAGGTTACAGCCCGAGTGTTTTTCCCCCAGTTGGTAACGCGCACTCGGAACTCCGAGCCCAGCAAGGTTTACTCGCGTGGCCCGTCCACCATCCACAGCCACCCTACTGCCCCCAAATATTGCCAAGCACTACGAGCGTCCTCCCGCGGGTCACGCAGGGCAGCTCCCTCCCGCAGAGCCAGCGACTGCCCGCGGCCCCCGAGCCAAGCGGGAAGGGAGGGCCGGCACCTTCCACTCTCCCGGGGCCTCCACGTGGCCGCGCAAGGAGCGCTCGGCGGGGCCGGGACGCTCCCGAGCCGCGCTCCCGGCAGGAAAGGAGCGGGCGCTAAGTGGGAGAGCGGGTTCCATGGAGCTCCCTGCGGCGGGGCCGGGCCTTCCGCAGCACCACCCGACCCCTACCGACCCCCTTTCTCTCCCCGCCCGAAAAACGAGAGCAGGCAGCCGCAGCCCCTCCGCCACGTCCCGGGCCCCCCGTCCCGGGCGAGGGGGCGGGGAGGATTTACCTGCCGCATGGTCTCCGCGCGAGTAGGAGCGAGAAAGGGGGCGGGGGGGAAGCGCCAGGGCCGCGGCGGCGCCTCGTGGTCCGCCGCCCTGGGGGGAGAACCCGGGCGCGGCCCCCCCGCCCGCCGCCCCCCTCACCCCGCCGGCCCCCCGCGCCCACCCGGGCCCCGCCGCCACGTGACGAGGCGGCCGCGCCGCCGTGTCGCCCCTCACGCCGCTCCGCATCGCGGGGAAGGTGGTGTCCGCTACCGCCGATCGATCCCCCGTGCTGGCTCCTCGCCCGCGCCCGCGGCCCCCCCACCCCGCCCCGGCCGGCCCGCGGCGGCCGCCACCCGCTCCGCGGAGCCGGGCGGCTGTGGGGGAGGGCATGTAAACAAATGGGGTTTTATAGCTACCTCACTCGAGTGCCGTGTGCATCTCCCTCTCCGCTCGGTACCAAACCGCCGCGGCGCCTCCTCCTCCTCCTCCTCCCGCCGCTCCGCCGCCGCTATTCACAGACCCGCGTACGCTCGCCCTGCCCGCGCGGCCCCGCGGCCCGAGGCGGAGCCATTTCCTACCCCTGCTCCAGCGCTACGAAATCAGCGTAGCGCCCCTGCCCTGCCCGCCCCTCGCTGCGGCGGCGGGCGGCGAACGCCGAGCGATGGCCGCGGGCCGGGACGGCCCCGGGCACAGCCCTGCGGGCCCCGGGGAGCGGGGACGCTGCCGGGCCCCTCCGGAGGGAGGACGGGCCGGGCCTCCGGGGGAGCCGGGCCTGGGCCTGGGCCGCCGCCTGGGTAGAGGGTCCGTCAGCAAGAGCGGGGCATTCCGTACCCAGGTACCTTCCGAGGGCGAGAATCGCATGGCCCCCCGTTTATTTAACTCCAGAAAATCCTGCCAGGCTTTCTCATGAAATGAAAACCTGATAAGGCGATAAACGTGTCCCCGTTCCGAGGTGGAGCCCGTCGTCACGCTTCATTCCTGTAGAACAGCTACAGAGCTAAAATAAAACCAACCCCACACACACACCCAACACCCCTCTCCCCCCAACCTTATACAAATTAACGCCCTCAGTAGATCCGACACCTCACTAGATCGGGGGACATTTTGGTTTATAACGTAAGACCTACTATACAGTGGGAGTCCTTCACAACAAATCATATTTTAAAATAGAGCAGCGTGTTTTGCAGTGGTTATTTATAAGAAGCATGTCAAAAGGCTGAGGCGTGGTTCTAGGAACGTTTCAATAAATTTTAAGCTGCTTCATTTTTCTCTCGAGAAATTTGCATACGATTTTTGTCACATTTTCTTCCAAAAATAACTGGTATTTCCGTAGCAGGCTTCAATCTAGAAGCAAACCAACCTCTCCCCTGTTTCTTAAGAAGGTACACATTTTTCTTTTAGAGTCTCATATTCCTGAATTGAACTCACCTAATTATTTCTAAAACTGTTCCCTTGTTAAACCAGATTATTCACATCAGTGAATACTACTTTAAGTCTGGCCTGGCAGAGCCAGAATCCCATCCTATCCAATCATATCCTAGTCCTCTCTTAAATCCAAGCCATACCCCGTGGTTGTCCATTTCTAATTTCAAATCTCCTCCAACAACTTTTTCTCCCCTTAGTATTATTTTGAGGGAAAAAGCACTTATATTCCCTCCTTCATTTTTTTCCATACGTCCTATTGAATCCATGACTAGAATTCTAACACTACTAGTCCAAAGTCAGTAGCCTACATCAAGTTTTAGGGACTAATAAAATGATTATTATTACCAAACTGTTGCACTAGATCATTTGTATGTTGATTTTAATGATTTCTTCCTCCACACAGGTCCTTTATCTCTCAGAATATCTCTTGGCACAGCAAATAAAATACAGATCTGATTCTGATATTGGTCATTAGACATCTTCCACAATACCCACTGTTGATCACTGGACATGACTGATTTGTGTTGCTGTTCAGTCTGGAAAAAAAATCCACTGAGTGCAAAATAGATTTAAAATGCAAAGTTTTGTATCTTTCCCCTTCAGAGTACATTGAGTGAGTTGTACTCAGTAATAAAATAGAGCACATGGGGTTTGTTAGCTTTTCTGAGTAATATTCAAATAATGTAAAACCTCATTAAAAGAAAAAGGAATTAGGAACTCTAGCAAAAGCACTGCAATGGATTAATAGAAAGTACTATGTTTAATACAGAAAGGTAATTTAAAATTTCAGGTTTGATTGATTTTGTACTAGTTTTATTGTGTTTAGAAAACTTGGTGGGTAAGGAAGCTGCTCTGAAGGCAGCTTTGCCTTGTTGTGGGGGTACTGATGCCACGCAGGTACTTTCCAGAGACTCACCCAACCGAAGTGTACCAATAAACAAATCTCTTGTGTTGGTAGGTTCCAGCTGTTACACACTCTAACTTGTATCTGTCAATTTTTAAGCCAGAAGGGACCATTAAGAAGCCTTCCAGGACTCTGATACTGGTCATTAGACATCTGAGTATCCTTCCCTGCTAACAAATGAAAGTCTAATTATTACTTTGAGTTAGGTTATAACCCTCCCAGTTAGTCTGTTTGTGTCTAGAATATTTTCCCAATAGTTGTACATTGTATCTTTCATTTGTGTTTCTTCTCAGTAGCTTTAAACACACGTTTTGGTATAAGAACTGCCAGAGCATCAATACTTGAAGAAAAGAAGGTATGATTTTTTATAACACAGTTTCAAAAACCCAATCCAAAAACTATTAGATCAGGCATTACTATGAAAAGCAAGCTGAGAAGTGTGCTTCCCTGTAAAGCCCGTGGAGCAACTTTCTGTGCTGCAGGGAAGCCAGCACTGCAAGAGTGCTGAGAGCTTGAGAAACTACAAATGTATGCAACAAATCCAGACTGACTTTTCAAACTTCAAAAAGAATGATATATTACTGTCCTTTTAGAACAGAACCGTCTTTTTTTTTCCCCTCTCCTTTCACAGCACACTTCCTTGCTGAGTAACACTGCATGGTGCACGCTCATATATTGGGCTGCAGGAAGGGAATTATTTTATATATGTAATACAGAAGGACTTGGGATACAAGGCTGCAAAAGCAGATTTTATCTTCTAGTAGGTCTTGTCTCACAATGGGGTCCTGTCTAGCAGCACATCTCCAGCTCCAGTGCAATGCTGTGACCTCTTTCAGGTGCCCTGAGGTCCTGATGCATTTGGACAGCAGGCCCAGCTGACGTCAGCTGGCTGTGCCAGCACAGCAGATGAGAAAGTAAGAGACAGAATATGGTGCCAAGCTTTAGCTGTGAGATGCAGGCTTAAAGAGGGTGAGATTAGAGAGAGTTTGACAGATCTCACACACTGATTTCCTGTCCTCCCCTTGTAACAATCCGACTGCATGTGAGGGATAAAAGGTTAACATATATATGTATACAAAAAAGAAGTTTGTTTAGACAAACTATTACCCCCCCCCCCAAAAAAAAAAAACAAACACAAAAAAATCACCAACCAACCAACCAGAACCCAAAGCTATAAAATTAGTAATTCCACACATAGATTTAGTTCTTTAGTACCCTGGTACTGCCTCTGACTGTAAACAGAAGTAAAAATCTTGTGAGTGTTCCTTGGAGGTCAGGAACAATAATACTGAAAAATATTTTAACTGGGAAAAATTAATTTAGAAAGCTTGTGGTTAAGTTGTACACAAACCTTCTGTCATTTAAATAGGAGAAAAATGTCACTACTTGTTGACAGAACAAAGTTCTGTAAAGTTCCCTCTGCCAAATTCAGCTTTTTTGGTTGAAGAACCCAACTTAATTTTCTTACTTTTGAAATATTGATATCTTATGAAATAACAAGATAATGGCTTGAAACATTAACTTCCTTCTTTATTTTAAACCATCTGTCCAAGATTTAATCAGAATTTAAGGCAGTGTGAATGCCAACAGAGCTGAGTTTGTGGCACGTTACATTGTACATTTTCTTTCCTGCTCTTTAAAACATTTTTTCTAGCTTCTGTGCCTACCTTTCATGAATTCTGAGAGCCTGAAACAAAGTCAGAAAAGCCATTTCTTTTGTGACAATGACCAACAAGTAGATCTGGTCAGTTTTGCATGAACTAGTAAGTACAATTTGAAAGTTACTTTACTCATAAGATGGGACAAAAAGGGAAATGAATCCATCTACCTTTCTTTTTAAAAACAATTGTTATCCTTCTCATTACAACAACATGTAAATACCCCTCTGTTTGGATATTATATAAACATGTATGAGCATACATGTAGGTTTTGAAGCAAAAATATCAATATCAATTATATTGTCTGCATAATTTTAAGTATGGTATTGGTGTAAATACTGGCAGGAAGTTAGTTTAGACAGAAACCCATGTTGGTTTGTTTTGTTTTGGTTTTTTTATCATGCCAAAACAAGATACAGGTTTTAAAGATCTTTGTTTCAGAAGTTTTTGAGTTGGCCTCTTTGAGGGGAAGCGCCAGGCTTTTCATTTTGTTTTTAAACACAGGCTGATATTTTTAGTGAGAAAATATAAACCCTTTGTCATTGGCTCAAGACTTAAGGTTACATAAACATCAAAGGACATAAACAAAAGGGCGTGATGCTGCAGCAGCAACTGAAGTCTTTGGTGAACACAGGGGTGTTCCTGCAATATGGAAAAAAGCCAATATGACTCATAGACCTTTGGTTGATTTTGCAAAGCTGGCAAACCCTAGTAGAGCTTATTCACAGGAAAACTCTTGCTGGCAAACTTTACTTTGTTAAATTTACTTTGATTTGTTATTATTTGTTTTAAACATAACTTTCTAGTCCTACTTTCCAAAGCAGTCACAAGCCCTTTCATTGAATCTGAGACAGACAGGATTTGCTGGTCACAGGACTGGGATAAAATTCAAAGTGGAAGATGTTAGAAAGCAAGGACAGTCTGTCACAGCCTTCTTCCTCTCTTGCAAACTCAGGTTTACTTATTTTTCTCCCTTCCTTCCTGCCTGTTGAAAATACCTGTTTGCATCTTTTCTGTACAAGCTGGTTGTGGAAGGATATCACCTTCATCCTAAAGGATGTGATGTGAGGCAAGGGCCAGTCAGCTGCTTTCTTCAGCACATGACTAGGGTGAGATTGCTGAGCACAAAGAGCTTATGGTCATAGCCACACCAGAGCTCTGTATCAATAAATATGGATATTATCTGCTGGAGCCAGGCAGGGTTCAAAACATTAAACAAAGCTGTGCTTGCTGGCTGGGTGGGGTAGAAATTCCTCTAAAGGCTTTCACTTATAAAAGTAAACTGGATTGATTCCAAAACTGACCCACCTGACCAAAGAGGAAATATTGACTTTAATGTAATCTCTTGACATGCTGAGGAATTTGTTTTACACCCTCTTCTCAAACAGAATGGAAAAATTTAAAGAGACTTTATTTGAAAGAATCAATGAGCAGCTTAAAATAAGAAAACAAAGGTCAGTATCTTTTTTGTTTGTCAGTTCCTGTCAATTTTTAACCACTAGGATGGTGAATTGGCATTTTTTTATATATGACCTAGACTTAGCTGAGTAATAGAAGCCTAGCTCTTCTAAAGCTGGATTTTAGCAGGCAGCTGGGGTGAATTTCCCCATTTCACCTGTGTTACAC